GGAGGATATCGACCTCGGCTATCGGACCGTCAGCGACCCAGTTCGCCTTGACCCCGAATTGCTTCGAGCGCTGCTGCCGCCACATGTACTGAGACTATTACTCCGTAACTTTCTGCGCAGAACAGGCTCAGCTTCTCTGGAATCTGAAGAGAAGCTAGGCTCTGCTCAACCGCGCTCTCTAGAATGGACGCTAGAAAGAGAAATGACGGAGACTGAGCGTGCCGCTTTGCCACTGATGGAAGAGGACCGAAAGGTTAGACCTCAAGACTACGAAGATGCCACTGACCTTGAAACTGCTCTGGATATATTCCTGGATGAGCAGAGAGCTCTGGCGGACAGCCATAATAAAAACAAAAATCCCAGTCAAGATACCATCAACATCGATACGCTGAAGAAACACAAGGTCAACTTTCTCTCCATGGCAGAGAGCGAGGTCAATCAATGGGTCGAGAAGCGTCCATTCGGATCAAACTTTACCATTGCCAGTAACTTGCATCAAAAACGGGCCGCACTTACGCGCGTTTTCTGCGCATTCGACGGCAGTGATGGAATCAGTGCCATGGATGAGAAGGAGGTCCAGGCTTGGGTGAATACTGAGGCCTTTGGCTTCCTTGGAGATGAGACTCGAGAAGAAGTAATTGAAGGGTTGCTAGATGTGACTAAGAATATGACATCAACAGAAGTGCTAGGAAACCCCCAATTTTATCCGAATTACTATCTTGACAGGATAGGCTACAAACCACATGACAGTTCAGGTTCCAGGCCCGAGTCTGACAATGCGAATGAGATAACCAAAGTTGATTTCACCATCATCAGTTCGCAGGATCTCCAAGATTATATCACGGACGACATCAAGAATCATAAAGCTATCGGCAAGGACTACAATGAAACAACCTACCGTGCCATTCTCTTCGTCCAGAATGGAGGTACCTTCAAGTCTCCCGACGAAGGCAAGACTCCCAAGACCACTTCGTCAGACGACACATGTAGAACTCTATGGATCAGGGATGTCAATGTCTTCAGCGAGGGTAACGACTTCACATTGAACACGGATGATAAGGTCTCAGTACTGAATTTGATGGATATCAGGAATATCAGGAACAGAATGCAGAGCACCTACGAAGATGTACACCAGGTAATCGTGGACGATAGGGAAGATGATAACGACAGCGATGATGATAATGACAACGATGATGATGCCAATGGCACGGATGAACCACAAAAAGGAGATAACAGTCCTACGAGGCGCGGCCCTGCTGGAGGTAAAAGCCCCAAGGGAGGTGACAACAGTGACAACAGTAACGACGACAACAATCCGCCAAAGACTCGTGATTCACCCCCAAATCCATCTCCGAATCCCGACCCCGGATCCAATCCCAGTCAAGGTCCTTCCAAACCAAAGCCCAGCGTCAAAAAGAACCCTCCCAAGCCAAAGAATCCTCCCAAACCAAAGAATCCTCCCAAGCCAAAGAATCCTCCCAAGCCAAAAAATCCTCCCAAGCCAAAGAATCCTCCCGAGCCAAAGCCTACAAGCAAAAGTCCCCGCTCCAGAAAGCGCTCCCGAGATATCGGCGACCAAGACCTCCCTCCTCCCTTGAGCAAGAAACCCAAACACTCTGACAACCGAGATAACAACAAGAAAACAAACAAAAACAAACTGCGCCTGCCCCGCAACTTCCTCACCGTCCCCGCTGCCTCTCTCATCCCCTGGCTCCGCATGCTACCAGACCCGTTCCGTAGCCACGTCCTCGACTCAAACACAAACACCATCAAGCATCTCGCACGCGCGCGGACCTACCTACAGCGCGCCTACCACCACGACATTCAGCGGTGGAGGTCAGAGGGCAGGGGCCTATCGTCTACGAGTAAAGCTGCGGTTAGGGAGTGGGCAATAGAATGGGGAGAGATCAACTCGGACGAACGAAAGGAAAACCCGTCGATGGAACGGGTGGTGGAGAGGAAGTTGATGTCGACTGGGAGGGTGGCTTTGAAGAACGTAGTGGGTGGTTTTCCGGCGTTTCATGGGGATGAGGATAAGATTCCTGATAGGGTGGGTGGAGAGGAGGAAGAAGAAGACGAAGAAGAGGAGGATGAGCAGGAGGCAGGAGAAGACGAGGATATGAGCGATGAGTAGATAGAGGAGAGGGAAAAGGAAGATATGAGCATGTTAACGACGATGTGAAAGTTAAAACAGCTGCAACCCCTTTCCCAGTATACACAGTACAGCAAGTCTGGAAAGCATTTACGCCATGGTTTTTTTAGGTCTTAGTTTTATAGTAATTTCTTCTTGTCCAATAGATTATTGTGGAAATTTGGATCACTAAGGTCAGGAATGATTTAGGAGATAGATTATTAGATTGTATCTACTACGATCGGACTCATATATATAGAGCTTCAGCTACCCTTACTAGAAGGTGAATAATTAGTAAACCTTCCTTACTAGAGCTCCTGCTTTTTATTAGGCACTTAGTAGTAAGCTAGCAGTTAATTAGATAGTAGGTTATACAGGGGTATTAACTAGGATTAATTAGGATTAATTAGGATTAAGATACTCTATAATCTAGTTAATATCCCTCCTATAACACACCCCCTAGGTGTAGGTAGATCTTTTATTATTATAGTTACGCTTATAGTTAGTAGGTAGTATAGCTAATTAGAGTGTTATATATCTAAAGGGTTAAATTAGCTTACCCTTTAGATACTAACTAGTGCGCCTTCCTTATTTAGCCTATACTTATACGCGTAGATATTATCTAGATAGAGCTTTATAACTCTATCTACCTAACTATAATCTTTTACTATAGCTTAAGTTATAAGATTATATAACCTTAAAGATCTAAACTATACTTATATCCCTACTAACCTATATCTTAGTTAAAGTTAAAACCTACTACTTATACTTACTTTACTTATACTACCCTTATTACCTCCTATATAGCTAAAGCTATAGTTACTAAAGCTACTACTACTAAAGAAGAGCGCGCTACTACTAAGCATAAGGCTATTATAGAGTATATAGTAGCTAAGTATATAGCTACTACTACTATAGCTAAGATTATAAAGCTAAGGTAAGGCGCTCCTACTCTAGCTCCTACTACTCTAGCTCTAACTCTAGCTCCTGCTCCCCCCTAGACCCTGCCTAAGGCCCCTACTCCTACCCCTACTCCCTCTCTAGCTCCTAAGGAGACCCTAAAATCCTCCTACTATAGAGAGTCTAGTATTTATTATACTAAAACTTATCTAAATTATCTACGCTTAGCGCTCTTTAATAAGTCTAATAGCAAGTGCTATAACTCTTCTAGTAGGGGGACTTAGTGCTAGTAGTGCTTCTCTAGGTATAGCTATATCCTAATATATATAATCTATATAAGAAATTTTTCCTTTATAATACTTTAGTAAGATCTTATACTAATAAACTAATAGCCCTAAGCTTGCCTAATATTCTACGCTATCCTTTCTAGTAAGGAAGTAGGTAAGTAAGAGCTAAGACCTTCTTAAGGATAAGAAGTAAAGGGTCTTAGTACTTCTTAAGGAGAGCAAGGCTAAATAGTAGGAGCTAGTAAAAGCTGCTACTACTACTACTAAGCTTGCGCGTAAGGCTACTTCTATAGCTAAGGGCGCCTAGAGCTCCTTATTAGAAAATAAGGACTCTAGCTCCTCTAAGGTTCCCCTTATAGATCCTAGGATAGGGTAACCTAGGTAGCCCCCTATAGACTCTAAGGCACGCTTTGCGCGCGTAATAGAGCTCCTTAGAGAAGCTACCTAGTTAATAATAGAGAGGTAGGCTATAGTTAGTTATTTTTATATTATATATTAATAGATCTTATATACTACCTTACTTTAATTAATACTATATAATATATACTCTACTATTATATAACTTTAAGTGCTCCCTAAACCTTATAAATTATTATAAAGTTAGGTTTTTAGTAAGCCTATTAGCTAGTATATTACTAGTAGGTAGGTAGGTAATATAGAAAGATCCCTTTTTATACTCTTATCTAAGCTATATATTTTAAATATCTATATAGCGTAGCTTAGTAGTAATCCTTTTATTATTACCTACTACTAACCTAATAGTTTATTAATTATTATAATTAATTATCTAGGTAGTATCTAAAGTAAGGTGTATTTTAGTTAAAAAGCGTTTTAATACTATTACTTCTTTACTTACTTACTTAAGCGCAAGGAGCTCTACCTTAGTAGTTAATATAGTAATAGTTACTTATTAAGCTGCCTTCTAAATAATAGGTCCTCTAAAGAGCGTGATTAGGTACCTATATAATAATTGCTAAGTATTAATATTATTAGTAAATAACGCATTACTATATATTATAAGCTTATTAGGATCCCTATTCCTATATTAGATTAATTAGTATTAAGTTTAGTATAGATAGATAATTACTTAATTAACTATATTAAAGTGTTGTTTAGATAGGTTAGTAAGGTATTAGGAGAGCTAGGAGGCTATATAGGTAATATTAGGGCGCACTATAATTAAGGTGTAAAGGATTAATCTAATGCGCTCCTAATAGTCCTTAATCTCCTTTTTAGTAGCTTCTCTAGTGCTCTTTTTAATATCTTTACTTAATAGTAGTATAGTAGGGAATTTTCCTATCTTTACTAGATTAAATTTCTTTATAATCTTGTTAATGTATTTATTATAAATAAGCATTATTATCTATCTCTTTCTATCCTAGATTACTCTTACCCCTAGAAACTAGCTTACAGGTCCCTTCTCTTCTATAGTATATCTTTGCTTTAGAGCTTAGATAACTTTATAAGCTTAGCTTGCGTAGTTTTAGTAATAGAGTAATAGGATATTATCTATATAGAATATTAATAAGATACTATAATCTCTATTAAAGAATAGGCATGGCTCTTCTTTAGAAGCAATAAGCTTATTTTCTTAGAGTGTAGTTAAGAGCTTGTTATACTATAATAATAGTAAGTCTTTTAATCTATATAGAGCTTATTTAAGCTTAACACACTTCTTAGGTATTTAATATCCTTTAGGTAGCTTATAGATAACTATAGGGTGTTAATCCCTTAAGGCGTTAAGGAAAGCTCTAACAACGTTATATTAATATATCTTAAGGTTAAACTTAGCTCTAATAGCTATTGTAGTCCTAAAGGTTTAAGCTGCTAGGGTAGCTATATAGGTTAAATAAATTAAGTTAGTAAGCTATAGATCTCCTCTTACTACTATCCTTGCTTTACACTTAATTAGGTAACTATTCTAATTAAGCTTGTATATAAACACCTATTTAAGTAGGAGTAGATACTCTCCTTTAGTTAGCCTATTAATCTCCTCCTAAGTACTAGCTTTTAGTAGAGTATTAATTTCTTTATATACTACGTCTCTAAATTACTATCCTATTTAGTAGTTATAGAGATCCTTCTATTATTTTAGCTCTTTTTATAGAGCATCCTAGTGCGTATTCCTTTTAGGGTTTTTAGGAGATTTACTCCCTATTACTACTATAATTATAGCGTAGATTATAGTATTTAGTTTAGGATATACTAAAAGATTATATAAGGGATTTCTAATTAGATCTATATCTAATAGATCTATTACTATATATATCCCTATACTTATAGAGCCTTCTAGTAGTTTATTAGGGTCCTATCCCTAAGCTTGCTTACTAATATATATTAGTGGCAGTCCTTTAACTTATAGTTTTCTACTTCTTCTAGGAGCTCTAGGTGCTGCTTATAAAGGATCTGCAGGAGATATAGAATCTAGTCCTAAAGTAGGTAGGTAGGAGCTCTGCTTACCACCCCTATAAGAGCTAGATAGGGTGCCCTTACCTATCTCTATGCTCTTATAGAGTAACCTACTAATAGTACTCTCCCCTCTAGGTCTTTCCTAGGAGCTACCTATTATAGCGTTAAAGTAAGTTAGATTACTACTATCTTAGGTAGTAAGACCCTAATCTATAACCTATATAGATCCTTTATCTCCTATACTAAAGTTTAGTTCTAGTATTAGTTTAGGAGTTTAGAGCCCTATTAGCTTAGGGGACTTTATATAGATCCTTTGTACTAAGCTAGCTATACTTAGTACCTACACTAGAGGTGTCTACTTAGGGGGTTATAAATTACTAGGCTAGCTAGCCTAATTATCTACCTCCTCTAGCTCTACCCTACCCCCTAGCTCCTACACTAGGTTTAGTCCTCCTTGCTTACTAGACTCCTTATATTACTCTACTATAATACAAAGCTAATTAAAGATATTAAGCTCTTTATATACTTCTCCTATATTATAGATCTTATCTTTGCTAATAATATTAACTATCTTTTAAGCCTTTAACTATTAAAGCTACTCTAGATCTTTCTCTTTATAGAAAAGATCCTTATTAAAGGTAATATTCTGCGTTATAATAATCTAATTAAGTAAGGGGATCTATATCCTATATATATTAGATGCTCTATATCCTACTAGATATCTAATATAACCCTAAGGGTTCACCTTAAAAACCCTCTTGTAACGCCTAGCTACTTAATCTCTATTAAGGGGGTAAGCTTAATAGCTATAGGCGTATATTCTGCTCTAATTAGGGTAGAGATTAGTAGTTGCCTCCCTTATCTACTCTAGTTGCTACTACCTAAAGTATCTAGTAAACTAATAATCTAGCACTTTATTAGGTGATATTATATTATAAGTATAGGACAGGCTTATATTATAGAGCTAAGTTGCTGCTTTAATAATTTTAGGCTAGAGCTTTATTAGTAGGTTAGTACTAATCCTTATTTTAATTAATTTTATTATAATCTCCTACCCTACTCTTTCTGCTCCTCTATTAGGTTTATAGGTATATACAGGTAAGCTCTTAATTTTAATACTATTATTAGCTACCTAGATCTAAAAGCAAGATTTGCTACACTAAGGGAGCGTTGCAATATTATTATCTTATATAATCTTAACTATACTAAGCTTATATTAGTTAAGTATTAAGCTCTTAAAATTTTTAAACACCTATATAATCTTATTAAGGTTTTTAGCTTATAGTAGATAGGTATAAAGCTTTCCTAAGTAGTTGCACTTTAATACTAAGATCTATTACTTGTAAGCTATACCTATTAGCATGTTAAATAGATCTTATAATACCTAGTAGTATAGATGTAGTAATCTTTCCCTTAGTTATCTTAATATAACCTATTAGGCATGTATAATAGCATAGTGCTCGCATTTGCTCCTAGGAGTTCCTTTAATCCTAATATTTATAGCTAACTTAACTAGAGCTTTAAGCGCCTTAGGTCCTAAATAGCCTAATTATTAGTGCTAAAGCTCCTTACTATTGTGTCTTAGGTAAGTTATCTAGGATTACTAGGGTTATTTAGGCACTATGCTTTAGATTATTAGATAAGGAGTAGAGGGCTTATATTCTAGGAAAGTTAAGTTAAACTTACGCAGTAACTTAGCTAATACAACGCTCTTTTCTAATAATCTAAACTATAAGGTAGTATCTAGCCTAAGGAACTAAACTCCTGCTTTAAGTAATTAAGCTTCTAATATAATATTTATATAAAAACCTTCTACTAACACTATATTAGTAAGCACTAAATCTTCTATTTTTAGACCTCTTAGTCTATTAAGAGTATTAGGGATTACTCTTGTCCCTCTACCTAAGATTAGAAAAGCTTAAGTTCCTGCTTTAACTGTCTTATATTTAACTAATCTAAATAAGCTTTCTTCTAGGTAGCTTATATTATTAACTAGGTGCACTACACCCCTATTATTAAAGATAGTGCTCTTTAATAGAGCGTAAGCTTTAAAGTCTATAGTTAAATAGATCCTGTTTGTTTTCTCCGCTATTAATATAGGGTTAATTAGTGCTACCTAGATACTACCTAGATAGGTGATTATGCTTGCCTTACTACTATAATCTTGATTAATAGGATAGGACTTAATTAGAGCTTTTCTTAACTCTTTAAATTTTAGATTCCTATTAATCTTTTTCTTAATCTCTAATTATTAAGTAGTAGTAAGCTTGTTACTTGTATTAGTCTAAGCTTTAATAATATTTTTATATTTAGGAGGTTTCTATAGGTAAGATCTACTATATAGGTATAAAGACTCCTTCTTAGGTTAGTTAGAAGGTGGAGCTCCTATTATTGCAAACACTCTAGGACCCTTAGAGCTTAATCTTATATTATTCTCTTAGAGCAGTAATAAATAGATCTTAGTAACCTATAGGAGGTTATAAGTTAGCTCTCCTATTACTAACTTTTTAATAATCCTTTAAAACATGTTTTAACCCTAATCTAGTAAGATCCTAGTAGATAGAGCTTTAAGATAATCCTATACTATAAGCTATCCTTTAATATTAGGAATATTATATACCTTAGCTCGCGTATATAGGATTATCTACTCCTTCTACTAGTAATTAGTGTCTTAGCTACTTATCTTTACCTTAGTAAGATAAGCTTTATACTATAATCTTGCTAGTGTTATAGCACTTAAGTTAGTTAGCACTAGGTTATTATAGAGCACTTAGATGAGTGCTTAGAGGGTTACTCTTTCTTAATTAATAAGCTCTATATAGGCTAGGGTAAGGATCCCTTAATCTACTATATTATTAACCTATATAAAGAGGTTCTAGATTGCTAATAACTTTAATACCTAATCTAATAAGCAGGCTTAGTACTAAGCTATTTAGAGCTTGTACTACTTACTTATTATATTAGATAGCGTAATATCTATTAGTATATTAGGCTTAATAGGTTTATTCTTAAAGTAGTTTTTAGTATCTAGAGCCTTAGGGTCTACCTCTACCTAGATCCCTTTAGTTAGGGTATAGTATCTAAATTAAATATACTAGGTAGGCTAGTTAGTTAATCTAGTAAGTAGGATATCCCCCTTTAGGATTTAGTTACTTATAGTAGAAGAGTAATAAGTAAGCTTTTGCTTAAGAAATAGTATAAAGAGTAAAGCTTGCTAGCTTAGTGTCTAAGTTAAATAATACGCTTAAATAGATAGGACAATCTTTAATAAGGTAAAGCGCGAACTAGGCTTATAACTATAGAAATTTAGATTACTAAGGTTAGGAATAATTTAGGAGATAGATTATTAGATTATATCTACTATAATTAGACTTATATATATAGAGCTTTAGCTACCCTTACTAGAAGGTAAATAATTAGTAAACCTTCCTTACTAGAGCTCCTGCTTTTTATTAGGCACTTAGTAGTAAGCTGGCAGTTAATTAGATAGTGGGTCATACAGGGGTATTGACTAGGATTGATCGGGATTGATCGGGATCAAGATGCTCCGTGATCCAGTTGATATCCCTCCTGCAACAATTATACTTGTCCTACAATCAAACTACAAATTGAAAGTAACACCCATCTCCTTACACACTTCTATCCTTTATTCTTCCGTTTTACACGAAAAGTCTTCTCCTCAACAGACCCTGAGCCAATATGCACAAACGACCCTTTCCTACCCACCTACTATCCCCCAACGCAGCAGCGGTGCAACACTAGGACCAGCCAAACACTAAAACAAACCCCAAACGCCCAAGCCACCACTACTAACGTATGTACCTACACAGACCTGCATAACAATGCACTACAAACTATCCCAATTGCGCCAGATCAATACGCCAGTGAAGATTGTCAAAGTCCTGATAGTGTCTACCTACAGAACTCAGGACGGACATGGGATAGAATGCATTAGTACAGTCAAAGTCGAGACATCAGGGTAGGCGATATACATGATTTCTCAATTGCTTACTCATGAAAACGGGGGGGTTACAGGCTGCACAAATCGTACAAGCGGCTTCATAGCTACACAGCTACAGGATACATACACAGATGAATATTACCCCTAGGTAATGCTATTCCCGGTTTTCCATTCAGCACTGCACAACAGCACAAGTAACTCGCGAAAACCCCCATGTTATTACTGACTCTGGGTAGTGGTTCTATATACATCTCCCCGCGATCTTTTTGCTTTGCGCTGCGACTTCAACCCTAGCATCCGTGCCCCTTCCCCCCATTCTCGCCTTCAGCCTCAAAAAAAGACTTCGAGTCTGTCCATAGCAAAGAGCACATTGTGCTCGTCAGGCACCCATGCTCTGTTAAACCCCTTCACCCCTTAGCTGATTTCCTTACTTACTTCCACCCACTCAACCCTGCCCAGGGATCATTCCCACTTCCTTGTCCTCCCTGCTGTCCACGCGGTGGCCCCGCATAACCCCCGGGCCCATTGGGATATCCGCCCGCGCTAAAATGGCCAAACTCCATGTTCTGACTCGGCGGCGGTCCTGGCGGGGGTGGAGGGGGGACATAACCTTGTGGTAGACCAGGTTGGGGCGTGCTACTCCAGCCCTGTTGTTGATGTTGCTGTTGTTGGTGCGGTTGTTGCTGTGTGGGCGGTTGACCCCACGGTTGATGCTGTTGATGCTGTGCAGGTGGGGGACTGAAGAATTGCTGATGGGGAGGTGGGGAAACGGGATGATATTGGTTTTGGAGAGAGGGGTTGTATGCTGCTGATTGTGAGTGTTGTTGGTGGGAATATTGGTTGTAGCTTTCGCGGCGGGGTGGGGCTTGGTTGTAGTTGTTGTTGGATGCCGAGACTCCGCCGTAGGATTGTCCGGGCGACATGTAGCTTTGTTGACCTGGAGCTGTTGTGATTGGGTATCGCGGTGTGACGGGCGGTGAGGCAGCGGGGTTGTATGCTGGATGGCTGGTGTTGGAGGATGAACCATACCCTGGTGTCGAGGAGAGAGGTGTTGGTATGCTCTTTTTGCGGCCGCCACCGCTGCCCCCGGAGACGGGTGAGCCAGAAGGATCAATGGACATGCGCTCCATGAGCTCCTTCATCCGCTGTTGTTCGTGATCGGCGCTGCCTTGAGACTTGCTCTGCTCGATCTTCGAGAGGAGCTGCCCGCCTTCTGAGCGTCGGTTGTTGACAAAGGTTTCTACGTTCTTTTGTAAACTTGATGCCGTATCTCTCATCTCGTTATAGAAGCTCCTCGCACGGTCCAGCCCCTGCTCGAGATCCATGTAGCTTTGGTACACTCTTCTATATTTGCTCATAACCGCGTTTCTTTGCCTCGAGAATGCTTCGTATTTACTCTGTTCAGATCGCACGCGTTTATCTTTGAGAAGGTGCGAGTAGGTGTTCGTAAGCTCTTTGAGAAGTGATGTCTGCTTGTGATTGGCCTGTGATATGCGATTCTGGTGAGGTCGGAATTTCTCAAGCTCCGCCTTGAAGAGTTGTGCTTCTTGATTCGCGATGGCTTTCTTGTTCAAAATGAGAACATTTGAGATGTCGTCAGAGTGAACCTGGACGAGTCAGTCGATGCTGTTGGCGATTCACAATGCCAATTCATCATTACCTTATCTTTCAGATCTTTCAAAATCTGCGTCCTCTCCTTCTTGACAAGGTTCAACTTCCGCAGGATATCTTCGACGGCAGCGATTTGGTCCGCCACCGTAGGCCCTTCATCAATGTCGTCATCAATCAGGTTGCCCTCTGCTGGCTTTGGACTTTTGCCTTTGCTTGCGCCCGCCTTGACCATGGCTCTCGAGTACAGCACATCCGCCTCATCTGTCTCTCCCGCTGAGCGCATCTCGTCAAAGTCCGCCTCACATTGCTGAAAGGTGTTATATAACTGTGCGTCACTATGACTCGCTTCGTCGACAGCTCCCCGGTAATTTCTGATATCGCTCCGTAGTGTCGAGGTCAGACGAGAACTGGGCTGCTGCGTCCATTCTGCCCCGTACTTTGACCTCATCTTCTCACATACGCTTTCTTCCATGTCCAACTGCTTCATACTGGATTCGAGTGAACTGATTATCTCCGACTTGCTCTTGTTCAGCTGTTCAAACGCTGTGGGGAAATGCTGATGTCCGGCCAACGCGTCACACCATCGTCGGAATTCATCGTCGACCATGTTGTCCTGATCCATGCCTCCTCTCAATACGTTGAGGCTATCTGGCAACTTGAGGTAATCCAAGCTTGCAGCCATTTCGTCATTAGCAATCTCGACACGCTCGCTCTCGGCTCTTATCAGTTTTGCCTTTTCTTCGTCATACAGACTCGCTGATTCGGTCACAGCTAGAGGCACAATCTTCTGGAAGATATCTGGACCAATGATTCTTTGAATATCCTGTCCTTGATATAGCTCGCTCACCGGGATCGCCTTCGCAGCTGGCAGCTTTGGTACAGGGGTCAATGAGGCTTCATTCGGAATGCCCTGGTGGTATATGAAGTCGTTATCCTTGGAAAACTCGGCCACCTTCTCTTGGACATTGGCCAAGTGTTTCTTCGTCATCTCGGCCAGAATGCCTCCTGTCTCCGGGGTCAGATTGGAGTTTGTGGGTGTGTTGTTTGGGAAACTATTGGCGGCTCGATTCGCATCTTTCGCATGAGCTTCGGCGACTTGTAGTCTGCAGATAGCCACGCCATGCGAATTGGCGTCATCATCAGCCAGCGCTTGATAGTATTGCGCCACCGAGGCCATGTAGTGTGCTTTGATCTGTGCGAGAGTCAGTAAATGTCTTCAGTAAACGAACCCACTCCAAACCTACCTGGCAAACCAACAGCCAAACCTTCTCAAAAACAGCACTTGTGACATTCTCCTGCGCGCCTTCCGAAGCCTGTGTATACAAAAAGGCGGCTTGGCTCGCCAGTTTCGCCAATAGGCCAACCTTTTTGCCATCCGCAATTTGCTTTTCCAAGAAGACCTCTTGCGCCTGTGCAAGCATGATCGCAATCAACGTCTTAACAGTTTCTCTGCTCAAGTCGGTCGATGGCGCGTGCAGGAAGTTCTCGTTGATGTAGGTAAACATGCCTGCAGAGGCCTGGAATGAATGATACGAAGTCTTGAGCCCTACATCTTCATGGCGATTTTGATGTGCAGCGTGGCAGGATAGTACGGCGGAGATGTTGAAGATGATGGACGCTTTCTCGTAAGCGAGGGAATACTGCGAAGTCGGCTTGTGTGTGAAAGCATCGAACCTGGGTTGTGTTAGCCAATCTGCGAATCCTTTGCTAAACAGCGGTCTCCCCTCTCCATTTAGCCAATTCAATCTTGCAAAACAGCCGTCTGCTCTCTCTGCCCAGCCAATTCGCAGTGTGTATATGTCGACAGACTTGCAACGTACCAAGTGAAGCTAATCTTAATGTGATTTTCATCCACGGGGAATCTCAAGTCCAGCAGCTCGAGCTGGCCATAGTATCTATACAGCAGATCCCTCCCTGCCGCACTGTCTTTGCCCGCGCCCCTCATATCCTGCCGTAAGCGGTTCAGAGTATTGCACTCCTCATTGTAGCGCTCCGGATCGTCGCCGTAGGTCTGGCGTATGTAGCCCTTGAGTGGCTGGACCCAGTCGATTTCATTCGTCTGCTTGAGCGGCACCGAGATCATGGGTATTTGCGATGTCATGGCGAGTAGGAGGGTGGAAGCGGCCACGGGGCGCGCTTTGTGGAGAGGCGTGGTCGCGGGTATGGGAGGGGTGGAGGGAGTTGCGCAGGTGTTGCTGGAGGGTGGACGGGAAACCGTGTCAGGCTATGGTCCCGAAAGGTCGCGGAGAGAGAAAGAGAGAGGATCTGACACAGAATCTGATATGCACACGCGTGATGACGTGGGAGCGTGTTGCGCTGGCTTGCTGTATCGTGGGCCTATCTACCAATCCACAGGCATCTCGGTAACACTCGGACAGCGGGAGGGAACAGCCACACATGCAACGCCTCCCAAGGCACAAAGGTAAACCGGGGGTCTCCACAATCAATCGGTACCAGATAGGTAAAGCTAAGGGAAGAAAAAGCGAAGCAATCTCGAACGTTCAGTGGCACAGCAACGGAAGAAGAGATGTATGTGTAGTTTTCCGGAAGCGAAGGGGGGGGGGAGGGGGAAGGGCGAAGGGGACGACGTGGTGAGAATGCAAGCGATGCAAGCGATGCAAGATGGGTAAGAGTCTCACCCACACCACACAGCCGCAGTCTGAGTGGGGAGTGTGAGTCGGTTGGTTGGTAGGTAGGTAGGTAGGTAGATAAGTACCGGGTAAGATAGTCTAGTTCAGTGTGGTGGTGGTGGTGGTGTGGCTAGGTATCGAAGCAGCCCGAGTAAACTACACAGATGGTTACCGGTACCGGTAAGGTACCTAGTAGAGCCGGGGGGCAAAGCAAGCCTTTTTGCACCGCACCACCAGCCTTGCTGCAGGCACCACAGCACAAGTGCATACTACCTGTAACACATGACAAAGACAACAACGACAAGGCCAGCCATGCAACATCGTAAAACTCCCATTCTCTCCCTCCCGTCGCCTCATTCTCAAGCACTCTACCTATCCCATCACCAATCCCATGCCTCGCACCCACACACCCACGCCCACACACACTACATACACGGTAAATCGCCTCTGGGCCCTGGGCCTCGTACCGTATGTGGTCACACCGTTGCTAGGTAAGTCTTTGGGCCGCCGTCTTGGGTCATCCTGGTCTTGCGGCTGCTTGCTGGCCACTCAGAGCCTCAGAAGCCCGCAGCTGGGCCAGGTAAGCGCTTCGATATATTAATCGTTTCAATGGCTGTTGTTCATGCTGCTACCCAAGGCAAGCTCTTCGTCTGATCTACCATGTGAGTGATATAGTTGTGGATCTACGAAGCGCGCATAACATGTGCGTGGGTGCAAAGGCAAGGGTCCTCAATCATCGACTGGTTGTCATCATCTTTCATCACATGTGCTGTGCTATGCTAGTGACTAGTTGCTGTGTAGATGACTACCATAATATACAATACAAGCCCTGAGTCGAGAGGCCGGCTACGTTACAAGTACTACCAAACACGCGTCTTTACAGCTTGCCCAAGCATTTTTTTCCACAAGGCTCAAAACGCCAACCAATGCTGTCAGATAGGAAGAGGAGGGAGAGTGTATGCAAGGGTTCCGCCGTGTATGCGCCAGAAGTCGTTGTTGCATCATCCATTTCATTCATTGATCCATCCGTCCATCCATCCCCATCATATAGGAACATCATCATGAACCCTTTTCTTTTCCTTCATGCCGAACCAGACCCCTTCTTAGGCTCATCGTCGTCGTCGTTCAAGTGCTTGTGCTGCCCAGTAAGGTTATGCCATGCGCTCTTCAAGAAACCTTCGTTCGAGTGATCATCTTGCACCGTCTTGCCGCTGGCCTTCCTGCCTGCCGCCTGTTGCTCTTCCTTCCACTTGCCGGGGTTGATGACTCGTCTTGCGTGCGTGTCGCCCATCTCATCGGCCAGCATTTCCAGAATCGTTCGTTGGTTGACGCTGAGGTATTTGGGCATGGCTACCTTGAACTCGACTTTTAGGTCGCCGTTGCCGCCTCGACGGCCAGAAGACAACACTTTCATGCCCAGTCCCGACAGCGTCACGCGGTCGCCGGTTCCTGACCCAGTGGGCACCTTGACCATCACCTCTCCATCTAGTGTTGGCACCTTGATCTCTCCTCCGAGTACCGCAGTCGTGAGCGGGATCGTGGCAGTATGTAGAATATCAGAGCCATTGCGCTTGAACTTGGAATCGTTGGCTACGCGGATGAGCACGTAAAGGTCACCCTTCTGGCCACGGATGGGTCCAGAGGCTGCTACTTGTCCGGTAAGCGGTGCGTCTCCTTCTCCATTGACGCGCAACCGCATGCCATCCTCTACACCTCCGGGAATGTCGATCGAGATGGTCTTGCGCTCCTTTACTGCACCATCTCCACCGCAAGTGCTACAGGAAGAGCCTCTTGGAATCGCGAATCCAGTACCACCACAGGATCCACACGTGGCGCTCATGTGGAAGCCACCCATGCTCGTCACTCTCTGTCCAGTACCTCCACAGCTCTTGCACTCTGTTCTCTGCGCCCCTTTCTTCAGCCCACTGCCCGCACATGTCCCACATTCCACCAAGGGCGTGATTTGTATGTCCTTTTTGACCCCTTTGGCCGCATCCAAGAATGAAATATTCGTTTGCACTTCGATGTTGTCGCCCACCATGACCTGCTCCTCAAACGGGTTCCTTCGCCCGCCGCCTCCTCTGCCTCTTCGTCCTCCTGTGAATGCACCAAACAGGTCGTCAAAGTTGATATCCTGAAATCCCCCCGCACCTTGCGCGCCTCCGCCGAATCCCCCGCCGAATCCACCAAACCCACCAAACCCACTGAATGGAGAACCGCCTGGCCCTCCACCACTGGCGGCCCCAGGGTCGAAGCCACCGTTGGCATCAAAGGCACCGGCGCCATACGAATCAAATGCCTTTTTCTTCTCCGCGTCTGATAACACTTCGTATGCGGCCTGTGCAGAGGCAAACTTCTCTTTTGCGCCGGGATCTTTGTTCGTATCAGGGTGGTATTTCTTGGCCAGGCCATAGTATGCCTTCTTGATCTCGGCGGCGGATGCATTTTTACTGACACCGAGCGTCTGGTATGGGTCGGCCATGGCGAACGCAGGCGAGGTCGCATGGAAGCACTACGCAGAATGAATTAGTACAAGAACGAAAGAGCTCATCAGACAGAGGGGTCTGCATACTCGTATCGATGGTGCATGCTGCTGTTTTCTCTTGGCCGGTGCAGCGGGTCGCTTCGATGGTGTCTGCGATATTTGCGAGTAGTGACGACGCTGACGACATTGAGATGAGGCAGAGGCGGTGACGAGTCGAGCGGGGGCGACGGCCCTCAGCGGTAATGGGCCCACGAGACTCATGGTGAATGGCGAGAGTGTGGACGGCAAAAATATGGCAATGGTGTTGTGGTGGTGGTTCAAAATGTTTCCCTCCGCCCTCTTCGCAAAGGCAGCGGCAATTGCCGGGCGCAACTTTTTTGATGTTGCGTTAGTTAGCCGATCGATCATTGGCTTCAGCATTCCGAGGCATAGACGCGTCTCGAAACTTCGATTTGCTATCGCTATATAAACATGCAGCTCCCTGTAAGTTCGCCAGATAGAATCTACTTGTTGTTTTTTCTCTTTTCACAATGTCAACTGTACAAGCTTCGTCTGGTGCCTTGTCGCAGCTCATCGCAAGCCGAGCAAACCCAACTTGCAAGTCCAACACTCAATTGCTGCGATCGAGAAGCGAGCAGCATTCTACACGATAGGAACTTTTTCCATTATAAAAAATAATTACCATTGAGGCCATGTACAACATTGTGCAGTCGTGTGCAGAGGGCAGCCATGCGCATACCAGTTACAGTATAAATGGTTACAGTATAAATGTAGGAAATTCAACACCACCAACCCTCGTCCTATGCTTCACGCAAGCCCAGATATCCAAACGCCGTCCCAATGCTCATGCTCATAATATGTGGTATCAGGTGGCTCCCGCCAAACCTGGGGTATCGTAGAGAACGCCGTGAAGTGCAGCGAAGCAGCGAACTGTATACATGACTCGTCCCGGCGTCATTTCCGTTGCGGCGCGAATCGCACGCGAAACTCTTTGTCCTGGTGTTTGGACTTGTATAGCCAGTCAATGATGACATCGCCCTCATTGACAGCCAGCGCGTTGAAGTTCTTGCGCACTGCCAACGCCAGCTGATCCTTGTGTACCCGACGCTTTGATTTGGGCCGAGCCATTGTGGGTGAGAAGCGGCCGATGCCCTGATTGAGCACGACGTGGCTCAGTGGATTCTTGAAGGCGGATGGTGTGTCGAGACGATAGGCTCGGCGGTAGCCTTGAAGAACCGAGGCGTCTTGCGAGGCCCATTTGATCTATGCGACAGAGAGTAAGTCAGTGCGTGTAGTCGTCATGTAGGCAAGTGTGCAAGCTAGAACAGAGACTACGCAGATGCGCGCTGGGTGGTGAGCATCGAGGACGTCCTCGATGGGAGGCTTACATTTGACGACGACGAACTCGAGTCGTGAGAAGTCTGGCCGCTGTTGGTCGAGGCATTGTCAACCTCCTTGAGGCTGCTGCCGTTCATCGTGTTTGCGCCACCATTGCGACGGCCGCGGGCATTGGCATTGGAGGCTTGCAGGTGTTGCAGCTTCTCCTTGAGCGAGCCGGGCTGTGGCTCATCGTGCGTCCGTTTCGGCGGCATCGTGTGCTCTTACTGTCTCTCTCTCCTCCGCAAGACGCAGTCAAAAGCCAAGTAGTCAGAAAATGGAAGATACGCGAGGGGCCGTGTCCGAGAGTGTTTGCCCATGTAGTTCCTCAAAGGTTGTATCGACAAGTCCTTTGGAGTAGCGATAGCGGATGCGTGACGAGTAAAATGCAGGCCGACGGGTGAAAGTGCGTCGAAGCGGTTTAGCGCATGACGTCTGGTCGCGCTTTCCGCGTTGACCCTGCGCTAGCGAGTAACGCACTTTACGCGCCGTTGTTCGAGCACGCCTCAGAACCACTACGCCCAAACACTACACCAACACTGCCATTTCCTTTCTTTTTTTTTACTTACTCAGGCCTCATGAAACATCCATCGCCTGGGGTGGCTCATGAGTCCATCGTCGCAGCCCTGTTGTTTCGAGTCAACAAGTGGGCTGACATTGGTGTGCGAAAACCAATGTCCAAATCGCGCTAAAATTGCAAAATGCAGCTTCAATGAGGTGATGCTGTAGGCGTGAGGTTGGCAGGTGGTTAAGAGTTGGGGAACAGGCTGAGTGGGCTTGGAGAAGAATCAAGAGACAATACAGCGTCGAAGTTTGTGCACCAAACGTCATCATCTTATTACATCATCTACTACAGTACTCACTGAGCCGAGACGCTTTGCGATCTTACATGTGGTTCAAAAGAGCATCATGCCCGGGGTGAAGCAGTCTCTAGCCATTGCAACCTGGGCACTCGGCGCAAATCTCGACAGGTCTTTTTCCATTTGTGGCAAACAATGAAACCTGGCTGTAGCAAGACAGTTGACTATCTCTCTCATTTAGCCAAGCTCGAAGTGACGGTGAATTGCTGGCTAAATAGCACGTCTCACCAAGCTCATGCAGTATTAGGACCTATCAATCCTGGATGACTACCTCAGCAACATATACCAGTCTCACCTTGCTTAGACTGAACAGCAGCAATATCTCTCTCACCTTGAATAGTATACCATAGACTCTCTACCGCTCACCGTTCTGCAGCAAATGGCCATCTGCCAACCTATATAAATGACCCAGGACCGTCAACTTCAACTCTCCTACCTCCCACCTTCAATCAACGTTTCCACTACCATAGTACCACCTGCTAGAACATCCTTCGGCAACAGAATACTTCACTGCAACTCAAAACACATTACATCGATCCAAGGCATGGCTCAACTCTCTTATATAATTTACGTTCCACTAATTTCCAGTTCAGTTGAGAATAGCTTGTCAGCACTTCATATATTATATCCAATTGCACTCCACATATCTACAGTCCCAGCTCTCTACTTTATCAGCACACCATGTCTTTCGCTCCTAATGCGCCGACCTTCTCTCCCAAAGGCGTCAACGGCACCCAACAGAAGCGCCAGCCAGAGAAGCAGGTGAGCACTCATGCATCACCGAATCTGGAGGCCCGCATTTTTAGCTTGGAGGAGGATCGCGCAGACTTGCGTGGTGACGTTCGTTCACTGGAGCAACTATACGAGGGACTATCTCTCTCGGTGGAGAAGCTGAAGACAGGCGGCTGCTCGGCTCGACCTAGGGAGGCAGTGGACGTATCTGAGTCGTACCAGAACGCTCTGCAGCTGAAGACGGAGTTGGAAAAGCTCAAGAGCGAAGTTCACACGCCAGTTTATGGCGATGATGACGATGAAAAGGCGAACGGACTGGCTACTGTCAAGGTAAATGCCAGTGTACCTCCTCATCTGAGAGCTTCAAGCGCCGTCAGCAACGGTACGATCACGGAGTCTATCCTACCGCACCTGCGAACGAAGCTTGATGATAGCAATGGCACTGGGTATGTCATTCTACACTATAAGTTCTTTCAGCACAAAATCAAAATTAACAACATCAGTTCGGGCCAGTCTGTCAACGCATCACCCAAAGACACTCGCAATACAAATGGTCAGGTCGACGGTCATCTGATTCCTGCACCGAATCCTAGTCCGCCTGTAACCCCCAAGTTGGCGGTGCAGGATGATACGTCTACAATCAAGCTACTGTCTCTCGAGCCAGCTTGGAAGCCCTACTACATCCGCACTCTGCCAGCCCTTGATGACGAAATTCTTTCCAGGATACCTCACGAGAATATGGTCACCTTCGATCCCGAGTTCATCCAGGTCACGCTCAGAGGGGAATCCTGGTCGCCCGGCCTACACTTCATGAGTGGTCCAGGTCCATACGTGCTACGAAACCGCACCTACTACATCCTCAACCCCCAAAACGAGCCCTTCCTACCCTCGGCCCCGGGCCAACACGGCGCAAAGCTCACTGCCTTCTTCAAGGAATCCCCCGAGACTTTCCACTCCGACTTCGACCACGACGCATGCTCCTACGCCAACGTCCCCATGTTCGTCGAAACGAAAGGCTGCAACGGCCGCTTCCGCTACCTCTACTACGGCAATTACAGCCAGACACGCTGGTCCGACAAGCTCGACCATGACACCATGATGACCAAGGTGCCCCCTGCCATCAAATCGTACTGGGCCGAAGAACTCACCTCCGCCGCCCGCGAAGACTGGCTCACCGAAGAACTCAAACGCCACCTCTTCCCCCAGCCCGAATACACCGGCGCCCTGTTCGCAGCACACGCAGACAACGACGACGCGACCAGCGTGGCCACGGCCGTAGAAGTCAAGGCCAACGAGCGCATGGCGCGCGACGTGCGCAGCTATGTCGAGGCGTTGCGCGAGTGGGACCGTGAGGCGCGCATGAAGACGGCGCTGGTGAAGAAGCAGGTGGTGCTGGATGCGTTTGAGGCGAGTGATGCAGATGAGGCACCGGCGCTGCGGCTGTGGTGGGAGTATCTCGAGTGTGTGGATTGGAGGCGCGACTTTTATGATCTTTTGGTTACGCTGCAGTCGAGGAATGAGGAGTGGGTGAAGTGAGGGGGATGGAGTTTGAATCGGGCGTTGCGAATCGCAGTCACCGACCCAAGCTGCTCAAAGACTCCTCTCATTCCCGTTATTCTCCTCTTCAACTATTCCCCCACGGCCATCTTCCCCTTTTCCACAATCACCCCGGGCCAAGCAGGTCTACAGCACGTATACACAATACACAATACACACATGCATACTCAACAGCAAGGCAAGGCAAGGCAAGCTAAACTTCAGTGCTTGATATCTCGTGTATATGACTCTTGGCCTCTTTTTGAGTACTACAGTATAGCGTTGTGGTGTGCGAGGTGTGGACTCTTTACTATTTAGGTTTGTTCTTGGTCTTGTTCTTGCTGATAGTGACTTTGTCATCAGCCTCATCTACCGCCTTCCCTCTCCCAACCCAACCCAACCCAACCACCAACCCACACTCTCCCAATCCCCCACTCCCACCATCCCACATGCACAAAAAAGGACAAACGAAAAGAAAGTAGAGAAATGGGCGTGTCGGCAGTGCTCCAAGATATCTAGCTAGCCCGAAAGAGCCAGGTAGGTATAAGGGTATGAGATGGGATAGAATGGACAGAATGGACAGGATAGGATGGGTATGAGGCAGTGTGGTGTAAACTGCTAATCTGGGATACTGTATACTGATGAAGAGCAGGTGCATTTTGGGGGATTATCTGACATCATAACCAGCTACTTCATGTTCCAACACTGAAGCACTATCCTTTCAACCTATCCAACCGACCAACCAACCATACCCCCCGTCATCCCATCCCTCACCCTCACCTTACCTCCCTACCTCCCCTTCCACCCCCCAATCTCCGCCAACGTCAAAACATACTCATCCGCATACACCCTCTTCAACAAATCCACACTATTCCACTGCCCCCCACTAACATACTCGCCACTCCAAACCACAAACCACGCCCAATGGGCATCATACGCCTTGAGCCCTTCCACCTCCATGAGACTTCCAATCTCCGTGGCCGCCACAATCTTCGTATCGTCGGTGAGATCGAGGAGAGCGTTGTAGGTTGCCGAGTTGGGGCCATGGTCGCCCTGGGTATACGTGTCCGCGGACACGATATCGACGACGTCATCTCCGGGGTACCAGGACGGGGCGACGGAATTCCAGACCCAGAGGAGGTTGTGCAGGTTGTGGTGGTTGGTTAGGCGGTCGTAGAGGAGACGCCAGAGTTGTTTGCAGGGTTCGGGGCCGTCGGCGCCCCACCAGAACCAGGCGCCTTCGGCCTCGTGCAAGGGGCGGAAGAGGACGGGGACACCGGCGTCTTGGAGCTTGAGGAGCTGGGTGGCAATGGTGTCGATGTCGTGGAGCAGGAGTGTGTAGTTTGCGTTTGTGGTGTCGGCGAGGGCGGCGCGTAGGCTGAAGTCGGTGGCGGCCGTGTAGAAGCCGCGGTACCAGGGTTGGGTGGCGTTGTCGTAGAGGCCGACGGGGGCGCCCCAGTGCCAGACAAAGGTGACGATGCCGCCTTGTTGGGCAAAGGTGAGGGCGTGCTCGACGTCGCGGGACGAGGCGCCGCGGGAGGTGCGAGAGTCGGTGTAGTCCATGAGGTCGAGGCCGAGGATAGCGGGCGTGTGGCCAATGTTTTGCTTTACCCAGTCAAACGAGGCCTGGTCTTGTTGGCCGCTGAGAATGTTTTTGCCATAGATGCTGCCCAGGTAGCTGAGGAGGGCTTTGGCATCGGCGTTGGCCTTGGGGTTTACGGGAGTGGTGCTGATGTTGTGTGGGGGCCGGGGGGCAGAGGGGGCAATGGTGATGGCGTCAATCAGGTACCAGCCCCAGTTGTTTTGGATCTCAATCGTGTTGGAGCCCGTGTTGAGGAGGACTTGTCCGGCACTGACAGTCGTCCATGATGTAGTTGCTGGGAGTGAGACTTGGGAGGCGCCGCCACCATTGAGAACCACGGACGTGTATTTGTCGCCATAAGGGCCGTTGTAGATGATACTCAGGTCGTAGAGCCCAGAGTTATCGGCGTTGATGTTGAAGGTAATCTTGTCTGTTGCATCGGCGAAGTTCTCGACGTAGCCGGAGCCTTGCGGGTAGTGTTAGCATGAAACCATGCTCATCTTCTATCATGTGGTAACTAGTTTTACCTGTAAAGCCAGCAACAGAAGTGCCAACCGTGGTTCCAGATAATGTGGCATCCTCGGCTTGATAGGTTGTGGACTGTGCAGTGGCGAGCCTGAACAGCGCTGCGGCTGCAAAAGCTATTCCAAACATGATGGCAGTATGGATATCAAAGTCCCTTGAGCAATGATACAATGCATCCTGTGTAAGCTCTACAACTCATTGCAATATATAACCCAACTTGCACACCCATCTCGATCTATGCCGAGAAGTTATCCCATCCTGGGAGCGGAGAAGCCCCTCCCTCAGGTCGCGGTACTTCATTAATGTGAGCGCATTGGCACAAGGACTACGCACCCTCGGAGGTTTTAGAAGTCTTTTGGAAATGACGGAAACCGGGGAACGGGCAAGCGTGTGACTGGGGGTTAATTTAGATAGATGAAGGGTCCTCAGATGGACAGGGGTATGCGGCCCGCCAATGGTGCGAAAACGAACGTCGTGGATTCCGAGATCGAAGAAAACATTCATGTAAACACTGCAAAGATTTCGGGCTTGCTCGGAAGAGAGGGTGTAATAAGCGAGTCTGCCATTGATCTCTGCTATAACACATGCAGATCAGCTGATCAGGAAACTATATTAATTTTCAACCTACGACAGGCAGTAGTTACATCTAGCCCCTTACGCAGACTGGACCAAGGCCGTAATTTCATCCACTTCCTTGGGCGTTGGCGTCAGGTTCTCAATGCCCTCCTTGGTAATCAGAATGTTATCTGCAAGTGGTCAGCCTCCACACAACCATGATATCACACCCCGCAACTTCAGACATACCTTCAATCCTCACACCTCCCACACTCCAATACTTTTCCAAAACCTTCTCATCAAAGAATTGCTTCTTTTCCTCATCTTTGAGGTACGGCTCAATGATGAACCGGCAAAAGTAGATGCCCGGCTCCACTGTAATCACACTGCGTTCTGGCAGCGTGCCCCTCACCCTCAGGTATCTGAACATGACGTCCTTGTCAGCATAATTGGCATTGCCACCCGTATCATGCGTGTCCATGCCTAGGTAATGGCCCAGACCGTGCGGGAAGAATGCTACACTAGCTCGCGCCTTGAAAATAGCGTCTGCATCGCCCTTGAGGATACCAAGATCCAGGAGCCCTTTGATGGCAATCTTGTGCGCGAGTTCATGGATAGAGTCCCATAGTACACCGGCCTTGAGAGCGTTAATACATTGGTGCTGCATATCCAAGACAATCTTGTAGATTGCAAGGCTCTCTTCGTTGAAGTGGCCTTTGATGGGAAATGTGCGGGTGATGTCTGAGGCGTAGCAATCCACCTCGCACCCAGCGTCGAGCAGTAACAAATTTTGCTCAGAAATGGGCGCAGCATTGTTGACATAGTGTAGCGTTGCTCCATTCTCTCCTGCTGCGACGATAGAATGATAGGCTTGATTCTTTGCGTTGCGCTCGACGCAGGACTTGAGGAACACGGCTTCGAGTTCACACTCGTTCTTTGCTTTTGAGGCAGCTTTCATGACGGCGATGTGAGCAGCTGTGGAAATTTCGTTGGCTTTGCGGATCAGCGCAATCTCGTAGTCGGTCTTAGTCACTCTGCAGTACTCGATTGCTGGCTTGAGCTGCTTAAACTCCTTGTCTTTGTATGAGAGAAAGGTGATGTTGTCTGAGACTTGCTCTGGAATGGCATAAATGGTCGACTGAGCCGACTCTGATGTGCTAGTGAGATGAGCGTTGATATCCCTGGTGGTTTTGCAATCATCAATGTCATATTTCGCTTTTGCTTCGTCAACACTCATGGGCAGACCCGACCAGATGACCTCTTCTGGCTCAACAGGAGGAATGAACAGTGTCAGTCTGTCGTTGGGGATCTCGTAGGTGAGATAGGAGTCGGGCAGTTCACAGCCACTGAGATAGAAAAAGTAACGTCTTTGCCTAGACGGAAGTCAGCCAACAGCTGCCAAACCAAGACTACCAAAATCATACCTGAACGGTGCCTCGCCATCGTTATCCTAAGTTTCTGGTTAGCATCCTGTTCCCGCTGACTCGATGATTGGATGCCCTGCCCACCTCATTCAATTTTTGCTTTTGCGCCTCCAGATAAATCGTCCCATTCTTGTCCCCTCCCTTCTCAATGATCCACTTTGCCACCTTCCTCGCATGTTCCTTGGCCGGGTACTTGCCCTTGAGCACATCCTCGTAGTTCTCCGCAATCGCCATGGTGCTAATGCTACACCACTCCCTGTCTTCCGCGGGCAAGATGCGAAATGTAAAAGGTGTGGGCTGCTGGTAGGTTGGCAAAGGCCGTCGTGTGTAGCGGCGTTGGAGTGTGCGAGCCAAGCGCATACCACGAGAGGAGAAGGCGGACATGTCAAAGTTCAGCTTTGGCCGGTCTGAAGCTCCGTTTAGGCAAGAGACGGATTCTGGTGGGGTAAGTACGTTTTAGTGGCGGACGAGGGTCGAGGCTGACTTGTTCGGGTAGCCACGGGTTTGCGTCCCATTCGTCGTCGACATTGATCAAAAAGGTGCAGAATCTTACAGTAACCACCATTGTCCGTGTCATGATTTCACTTGTCGTCGACCACCGTCCAGCAAGATTGCCATGTCATGTCTAGTAGTCAGCTTCTTCAACTGTGCCATGGGTGGGTGGTGTGCATGTCGCGTCGCATCGAGCGAACGTCGGCAATAAAATTACATAGTGTCCATCCATGTCCTGTCTACATGCCAAGATTCATCATTATAGGCCCCTTTCTTCAGGAGGAGAAGCTCCATCGCCGACCAAACTCCTTGAGCTCCCAACGCCGTCGCCATGTCTTGTTGGGCGATTGAAATGCCAACACAATAAAAGAGTACAATAGTGACAAACTTGTCGAAGCACATGGTGTAGAAAAAGGCATCCGTGTGCCACTCAATGGAAAGACGCGGTTGCACGATGGATAAATAAATGAGCCTAGTTCGAGGAGATGTCTAGTCCTTCCATCGGTTGAGGAACTTGGCCATGTCGTCAGTTGGGTGAGGTGCGGGCGCGACCTAGCAAGATGTTAGCCAGAGAACAGAGATGCACACTGCATCGTTGTAGAAGCCAGCCCAAAGCAAAACAAACGTACCGTATTCTCTCTGCTCTGAACGGAAAAGGTTTGACTTTGGGTGAGTGTCGTCTGGATCTTGGGAATGGGCAGCTGTGTGGTCGCAATGACGACGCTGCTTGTGGGGTATAATGGCTTTGTGTTGGTCGCGGTGATTTTGGTTGGGGGGATGGGCTGCATGGGCGCGTATCTGGTGGGCCCGGTTTGCATCGTGTACTCGACATCGTATGCACCGCCAGCGGGGTCAGGTGCAGCCTTGTCTGTACCTGTTTCGTCCACAGCCTTGGGTCCAGCCGTGTCAGTGATATCTGCGAGGGCAGTCTGCACGGGCGCGGGAAACACGCCCGTCATGCCCGAGTAAGAAAAGCGATCGGAGTAGGTCGTCAGCTGGCCGCCTGTTTTGGCGACTGCAACCATTTTGAGGAAACTAGAAAGAGTACTGTGTTAGGACAGGTAGACTTGTAGACTCGACGACTTGGCAACTGCCAAATGCAACGCAGCACCGGGTATATACATACTAGGCTGGCTTGTCTGTCTTGCCTCCTACGCTTGCCTGCACCAGGCCTGAAGCTGTGTTGCCCGTTGCAAAGCTGCCCATGGTCGTGATGACGGCTAGTTGAATCTGCTCAGTGGCTTCGTTTCCTCCGGCCATCAGAAAGAGCTGGTAGCTCTGCAGGTCGGAGATGGAGGGCCCTTCACCACCTTCCTTCCACTTGACCGTGAGCGCAGTGCCTGCCGTCAGTTTGGCACCCGCGGCGGGTTCTGTAAAGGAGATGCCTGCGCTTGCGAGTGGGGCTAAAGCCGCGAGGGCAACGAGAGAGATGAAGAGACGCGCCATGGTGGGGCGAGGGTGAGGGTAGGTAGTACGGTAGCGGGCGACGGTTTGTTGTAGAGGCGAGGGGAAGAGCGCGCGAGGCGCAGGAGGTGCGCGGTGGTGTGGAAAGCGGCAGCGGAGTGTATCAGCGATTGTATACGGTCGTATACGGTCGTATTGTGCGATCGTGCTGTAGTCGGAGAATTGGTGGTTGAAGATCGCCGTGGAGTAAGCGGTAGGATACAGACTGAAGATTAGGTCCGGCGGTACGTTAACCCAGTTAGTACACACGT